ACGAAAGTAGATAAACTTTGATCATTTTGTCTGAAATTTCCAGTAGAAATGGAACTCAGTAAACTAATCTCAAGCAACAATCCGAAACGAATAGACCTTAATGTCAAGGATTTACGATAAAAATATTGGCTTCTGTCTCTTGAGCCCAATAAAAAGACATTTCTAGTTTTCCATTATTTATATGCATTAACTTCCATTTTCTTATTAGCAAATAAAAATTTGCATGTCTACAGTCAGCTATTGAATGCAAGATCTAGCATCATGAAATTTATTTTCTACGTTGAGATATCTTCGTCTGGATAAGAAAACTCTATGTTAACATCTAGCTCTTCTTTCTGAATGCCGACCAAGTTTTTGTGAGTGGTGCCCAACATGCGCTATTTCTCGTTGAGCTATGAGATTAAAAAATAAAAGCTTAAGTTTTTTTACCTGGTAGCGGAACTTTTTATGACCACTATAAACTTTGTTCTTTTTTACGGTTGCATTGTTAAAAAGAAGGTCTCTGAAATCTACAAATTTTTCATTTTTTAGAAATCTTGTTATAGAATGAATTAGATAGAAAAGTCCGTTGGCTATTAAAATTATTATCTGGATTCGAGCTAATCCCTTAACAGTGTAGAAAACAAAATCATAAAAAACGTTGTTGTTAAACTTTTTTCTATCACCTTAGACTAAACAATACAAGGATGACAAAGATACGAGCTATGAAAATCTAAGCCAAACAATTTCAATGATTGCATCTTATGAAATCTTTTAAAGTTACATAAAAACCTACAAACATTTTTCGTTTGCTTGAAAACATCGTGTGAGATACTCGTGTTATTTAAACACACTTGTATTTCCACTGATTGGCAGGTGCAATATTACAACCATATGAAACAACAGTATACAGTATCGATTTCTGACGTCTCGACAACATTAATCATCGTCCTGGATTAGCACAGAAGGTTTTTACTGATAAGATTTCGATATACTTTTTTGTCTGAGTAATTAGTTTATATCAAATGATTATTCAATCTGAATTTTTTTCACGCTTAGTTATGGTTTTATGTCATCTACTGGTAATTATTCTTTCAGCTCATAACTCGTATCATCCTTTGATATCCAATATTAATACAAACCAGTATAAATTGAAGCTTCACGAGCTGCGACAGGCATATTTGATGTATTAGCAACTAATGTTGTTCGTTGCATAATTGATACTTCTTTACCATCAACTTCCATTTTCAACTAAAAATCATGTTGTTTTTTCTTGATATTAAACAAAAATAATAAATTAATATTGTTTTTTTTTTTACTTGAGGAAAATCACGTAATACTTCAGCCATTTCATTTCCACGTTCACCACAACCAACATAAACAATAGCATCACTATTAGAAAATTTTGAAAGTGATTGAGAAATAACAGTTTTGCCACAACCAAAAGCACCTGGAATAGCAGTTGTACCACCTTGTACACATCTATAATAAATCAATAATTGCTTTTTGTTTTTATTTTCAATAATAAATAATATGAAATCCATACGGAAATAATGAATCTAAAACACGTTGACCTGTCAATAATGGATGATTAGCAGCAAGTTTTTCAACAACTGGTCGCATTTGTCGAACAGGCCATATTTGAAGCATTGTATGTTTTGTTTTTTCTCCATCAAATTCCGTTTCAAGAACAACATCCTATTTATTATTATTAAACAGAAAGAAAAAGAATAAATATTTAATATTAATATCAAAAATAAAACAATCTACTCAACTTACATCAAGTGTATAATTGCCTTCAGGTGCAATATATGTTATTGTACCTTTTGATTTTGGATGAAGCATTATTCGATGTTTAATCATTTTATTTTCTGGTACTAAACCAAATATATCACCACCTGTTATATGACTACCAACCTAATTGAAAAAACCATAAATAGAGAATGTCTCGAAAGTCAAGGTCAATCAATAAATGTATATAATTCTACCATTAATCAGACTTAATTCAAAACTTTTCTATTTATTTCAAAGAACAGATTAGGAAGTTTTTAATTTTGAAGAGTAATGAGAGAACATATCCAATTGTTAAACTTCGTATTATGACTACAAGTAAGTCTCGGTGAGACTAAGACAAGCTTAACAAGATTCTGTCTCATGATCTACTGACGTGAAATTTTCAAAGAAAATGAATATATCTTTTTTGAGATACTTGATTGTTGTGTGTCCCTCTAGTGAACCGCGTTTTTTGTTTTTGGAAACTTAAGATCTCGAAAAAGACATATTCATCTTTTTTAAAACTCTCAAACCCATCTAATGGCTATCGAACGTATCTATAGGCCGAATTTCATATTGATACTCTTTGATTTTAGTTTTTTTGACAATACCTTGGTAACAGGAAAAATCTCATTAAAACGCTCATGACTTTTTATGCGTAGGTCATAGGTCCGAATGTTTTTAAACTTGTCTCATTCTAGCTGAGGCTTACTACGAGCCATAACATGAAGTCGAACGACGTCTATAAGTTGGGTATATCTCCTTATAAGTTCATTAACACTTTTGGCTACAACATAAAAAATAGTTTTTTTTTATATACAATGGGAGATCGAATAATTGGTGCATTGCTCAAAATAGATCGTTCGTGACTCTTTCGATACTATTATGACAGTGAAAACAAGTACCTTATATCCTTTTATAAGTTATCTTGTTATTAAAATTGGTTTTCTTTTCTTAAGAAAATATAAGAATGAATATTTTTTAAAGTCACAGTGGAAGATTTCAATGATCTGAAGCCCGTAACAATGATGGAAACTTCAGTAGATACTGAAGAAAGCCTAATTTTTGTGTTGTAGCCAGAAGCTCTACCGTTCCTAGTGTTGATGAACTTGGTTTTTAAGAAAAAAAAACAATGACCCTGACTATTTTCAGAATAACTTTTAACAGGAATAACCTAGAAATTTGGAATTTTCACCATTGAAGAGAGAAGACCTGGGCTATTTATTATGTAGTTGAAAACGATATTTTGAAGGCATTTCCCATTGGATTTTGATGTGGACTATGACTTATCCATCGGAAAAATTCTTTGCTTCCGATCTACATAAGTCCTATTATTCTAGCACATTACACTCAAGAGTTACAAGCATTCTTCCGAAACCCTCAATTTTTGGGCAAACTGCCTTTGGAAGACTCCAGACATGCTGAAGGCAGACATGATTCATAATGCTGAATCCAGCGACTTGAAACCGTTTGTTCAACATTTTTGATACTTTCATTTTCATGCTGTGAAGAGAAATATTTAAAGTTTCAAAAATAATGAAATAGTGATCTCAGGTTTTGTTTGAAACTGAAAAACAAGCTCAGCATTCAACCCAAAATGATGAATTACCTCTGTCTTGTTCTCTTTTAGAATCCTTCAAGGTGAAATTGTTGAAATTGAGAGTCTCTGGAAAATCTTTGAACTCCCACATAGACGATACTAGAAAGCAAGAGCTTGCATGAGTGGAAAGAAAAAATTTCTTTCTATTCATTAGTTCTATTACAAGTCTGAACCGCAAGGGAAATAGTTTCAAAAATCTCCGTATAGAACTCATATAATGAATAAACTTGTTGATCAATCACATTTCAACATACATACATGATTGAAAGTCTTCTCTTTTGAATGATGAAAATTGCAGACCTCTATGTTGTTCCTATTAAAAACTACTCCAAATGATAGCAATAGTCTTTTTTTTTTCAAATGAAAGTTTTGAACTAAACTTGATTAGTAGTGAAGTCATATGCATTGATTAAGTAATAATGACGTTCGAAAATAGTCTGTATATAAAATAAAATATCCATACTCGAAGACGATTATCTGGACTAAAATTCCATGATGTTGAACGATTTAATGCAGGTACATTGATACCACGTGGAATGTAAATACTCTTAGTATAATCGTAAATAACTTCAAGTGGTCGTTGAATACCTAGAAACAAAAAAAAACACCATAATTATTATGTATATAAAAGATTTATTGAAGAAAGTTTCTTACCATCAAAGATACTGGACATAATACCAGGACCAAGTTCAACAGATAAAGGTTTACCAGTTCGTAAAACTGGATCGCCAACAGTAACACCAGCTAAATAAATATAAATATAGATATATTTATATTCAATAAAATCTGTTTTCATACATGTTTCTTCATAAACTTGAATTGTTGCTAAGTCGTTTTCTAAACGAATGATTTCTCCGACTAATTCTTCATGACCAACTCGAACCTATGAAATAAAAAATAAATATTCAATTAGAAATCTTTTTTTTTTTGTTAGTTTTACTAATTCATTAATTGCCGAACCAGCCATATGATTAGCAATAACGACTAGAATTTAATTCAAAATTCTTAATTAATCATCATAAATATGTTTTTCATACCTGGACCTGAAACTCCATAAACATAACCATATTGAGCTTCACGATGAGCGTCAGCTACTTTTGGAAGTTTATCTCTACTATTCATATTTTTTAATTCAAATAGATAAAATGAAAATAAACAAAAGAAAATCTAAAATAAAAATTACGATTATTAAATAATATTCACAATAGAACAATGATCATCTCCATTTTTTGTTTTGAGAAAATCATTCCAATATAATTATCCTATACTTGTCTTTGTCGATAATGTTGATATATTTCTGATTTAATTGACACCTTAAAGCTTACAGAAAAGAATTAATAATAATAAATGTCATCTGTAACCGAAGTATTACTTTCATTATGACTAAACATTAAGTTACAGAAGAATATCATGTGTTATATTATCATTGGTTTTTGAAAGATTATATTCAACTGTTAAGGTCATATCTAGAAATCTTTCTTTTTTATTTTATTCTGAAAAAAGAATCACAGATAATAGATAACTTTATTTAAGATATGACTGTATGCTAAAGCGAAATAAAAAAAGAAAGAGTTTGCGAGTTGTGTATGCTTTTACTGATACGAAGATAGATGAGGAAAAAAAAATGTTTTTACAAATAATGCTGAAATCATTTTTTATTTTCAGCTTTTGTTTGTTCTTTATATGAGACTAATACCGCTCGTTCATCTTTCCAAACATAAGTACCTCGAAATATATAACCATGTTTTGCTGCAGCATCAAAAGCTTCAGGTATTCCAAAAGTACCAAATGTATATGGTATAATTGGAATTTTTTTCTTGTCTATTTCAGCAAGTATTGGATCAACAATACGCCATGCTTCTTGTAATTCATCTGAACGTACAAAATTTATTTTTGAACCCGTAAGTACATCAAGTATTAAACGTTCATATGCATCAGGTAATTTAACACCTTGATAACGTTCACCATATGTTAAATCTAATTCAGTTTCTTCAATACTAAAACTCATTTCGCCAGGTCGTTTTGTATTTACTTTCAGATAAATAGCTTCATTTGGTTGTACACGTATAACAAGTTCATCACGAGCTAATCTGCCATTTGGATCATTGCTCTTAATATCTTCATCAAACATTCCACCAGGTGCATCACGAAATTGAATACGAATTTCAGCTTTTTTCTCATTTAATGCTTTACCTTTAGAAAAAAAAAACATTCAATAAAGGACACAATCGAATAAGAAGATCATCCTTCATTTCAAAAGCTATTTGTACTGTTTTATAGAGCAGTTCGTGGTGCATCGAATGGTCTATAGGAAATTGATATTTCATAAAATCTTAATATTCTCAATAACCGTATATCAATTAAGGGATAGTATAGCAATTGTAGATGAAATAAGCAACTATTATAAGAGATTATATCTTCAAACTAACCTATTTCAAATTTTGTTTAAAGTTACTTAAAAGAGTTTTTGTTTTTCGTCTTTTATACTAGCTTCTGTAATTTTTGACTTTTATGATGTTTTAAAATCTTCGATACTAATGGTTGTCTTCTAAATTGTTGTGTCTTACAGTCAAAGTAACTAATCAATAGCTAAGAAAAGGCAATTTTTCTATTGCTAAGGACCGAATTGTATATGATTTTTGTGAGAAATACTTTTTGTGGCGGAAAAGTTTGTATCTATCAATAAGTTCATCATATCCAATCATTTGACATATATAGATGTTTCGAAAAATGAAAACAAAATTTTCGTTTTTGGACTCGTGGAAAAGGGTACAAAAATGGACTGTTACAAAAATTAGTTTCTATTTTTCTTTGTTCTTTAATCCTTTAAATTTCGAGTAAGCAGGTGTGGTCGAAGTATATATTTCTATTAGATTCAATATATGTTCGATCTCTTATTAGAATTAATAATTTTGTATATCCCATATTTTCTTCAGGAGTCGAGAGACTGAATTTTTTGTATAGATACAAACTTTTCCACTACAAAAAATATTTATCTCAAAAATCATATACGATTCGGTCCTTTGCAATCCCAAAATTGCCTTTTCTTAGCTTTTGATTAGTTACTTTGACTGTAAGGCACAACAATTTAGAAGACAACCATTTGGTATACTTATAGAGGTTAGTCTAAGAAACTCACACAGTTCGTTGTCTTTGTTCTCAAGAGTAGTATCGAAGATTTTTTAAAACATTATAAAAGTCAAAAATTACAGAAGCTAGTATAAAACACGAAAAACAAAAACTCTTTTAAGGAACCTTAAACAAAATTTGAAATAGGTTAGTTTGAAGATATAATCTCTTATAATATTTCATCTACAATTGCTACACTATCCCTTAATTGATATACAGCTATTGAGAATATAAAGATTTGATGAAAAAACAATTCCCTATACAATACACCATTTGATGCATCACAGTGTCCGGCATGGATCAAGTTTTTGTGATCCAATCCGGGGTCAACGAATTTTTTCGCCACCCGATCCGAAATGGATACTGATGCACTACGAGTTGCCCTACAAAATGGTGCAGGTTGTCTTTTCTAATGAAGGGCGATGGTCTTATTTGACAGGGTTCTTTGCATCATTTTGTGCTATTAATAATAATACCTGCACGAAGAATAAATGGTACACCAGCCCAACGTTCATTATTAATTGAAAGAATAACTTGTGCATATGTTGGTGTTGTTGAATCTTTTGGTACACCTTTATCCTCTAAATATCCTTGTTGACGTTCGGGATCTGTTGATTTTTTATCACCAACATATTGTCCAATAACAACATCTTCGAGTTTAATTGGTCGTACAGAACGTAATACTTTTACTTTTTCATCACGAATATCTTCGCCCTTAGTTGAGCGTGGTTTTTCCATGGCAACAATTGATAATATTTGCATTAAATGATTTTGTATTACATCTCTTTACAAAAAAAAAAAATAAAATAAATAAATTTTATATAACAACTAATAGTTAACAATAATAAATTAAAATTTAGGAACTAGTCATTACACTAACATTTAATAATCCTTTAACAAATTAAATATTTATCTCAAGTAACCTTTACGGACAATATCCGTTTGTCAAAGGATTTAATCATTATTCTAATCTCTTTTGAATAAATATTAAATTATCTCAATAAATTTTTTTTATCACAGTGATAATATTTAGATTTCAATAGAAACCGATCAAATAATATATATCATACAATGTAAAACTACTTTCAGAAAATCCAACAAGACAGTACAAGTCTCATCTGTTCACGATTGAATATTAGTCCATGGAGTTACACTACCCAGGAAACATTCTCAAATGTCTGTATGCTTTTGAGCTGAGACTTAGTTCGCGAATTTTGAAATTTTCTATGATAACAAATCTAATTGATGTGTTTATATTAGCAAAGTTTCTGGTCGAAACTCGAATATATAGTCTTGTTGCAAATATGAAGTGATACAGTCGAAATACCCTAAAAAATATTCGATCTCCTCAGAAAGAAATCATGGACATGAACTCCTTTTACAATTGACATAGTTCAATAAGAGCTGTAAGATGAACTAAGTTCAGATCGAAAAGCAAATAGACAGTTGGAAATGTTTTCTCATGAGCTTCAGTAAGTAAACATATGGAAAAGACTGACAGAGATATCTCTTCGACATTGAGATTGATAACAACCTTTAGATAAGATCTAGAAGCTAACAAAATTTCATTTGATTACATTTCAATACTTTGATTATTTTACTTCAATGGCAGAACAAATCAGCATGATCATTCGAATAGTTCTCATTATATGTTATTTATTCTACTACCTAATATTTGTCAACTAAGTCTTTCTTAATCATTCATGTTACGGATTGTAATTGATAAAAAAATTTTTGTTTAAATAAATTTCATCATACCGAATAATTCCAAATTCATCAAAATAACCACCTCTTCCTTGTGTTCCAATATCTTCTTTAAAAATAATACTAACTGCTGCAATCGAATCTCTATTCCAAACTCTTGATAAAATTTGATTTGCAAATCTAAGTACAATTATATTTTGTACCATTTCTTTTCCCAAATAATGATCAATACGATAAATTTCTTCTTCCGTAAAAAATTTACTTAAATGTGTTGATAATTTATTTGAACTTTCAAGATCTTTACCAAATGGTTTTTCAACAACTAAACGTAACCAACCAGGTCTATGAAAGAAAAATAAGACAATTAACAACAAAATAAATATAAAACTTTATCATACGATTTTGGTCGACAATGTAAACTAATTAATTCTGTAACACATTCATAAACACTGGGTGGTAATGCTAAATAAAAGAGTCGATGTGCACTTTCTTGTTTTGATAATTTATTAGCTTGATGATTTAAATTTTCAAAATCCTTTCCATTGTCATATGAACCAGCAATATATGAATTAAGATCAATAAATTGTTTATATTTAACATGTTCATCTTCTTGAACCTAATTTTTTATTTAAAATATTTTTCTTTTTTAATCGAAAATTCGTTTTTTTTTTGTTTTTACTTTCATATATTTTGCAGCATTTTCAAAAATTTTTTCTACTGTTAATTGACTACGAGCATAGCCAATAATACGAACATGTTCAGGTAAAAATCCGTCACGATAAAGCCACCTAAAGAATAAAATCAAAAAAAAATAAAACTTTCTTTTTTATAATTTTCTTTACAAACCAAAGTGTTGGATAAATTTTCTTTTTAGCTAAATCACCCTAGAAAAAAATCCAGAAATATTTAATCCAGATTAAATAAATAGCACATACAGATGCACCAAAAACAAAAATTATATGTGAAGTTGATCTTGTAGCTGAAACATCGCGAGAAATTCCTGAACGTAAACGTTCATAAATACAATTCGCTGTTTCTTTAACTGTATGACTTATTGAAGTATGTTGCTTTGTATCCATGAAAATATAATAGAAATCGTTGTTAACAAGTATAACAATCAAAAGGAAGAAAACAACTTTTATATAAGACACTTTATATGATACACACACTATAAATACGGATTATTTCGCATTGACATGATGACAAATCAAAAAAGAAAAAAACTAATCAACGAATAGGAAACAAACGAGAGAAGTTAAGTAAGGAATTCAAATTTAAAGAGATATATCAATTTGCGACATCTTCCAGTGAGTTTTTTTATATAATTTTGAAAATATTTCATTGAAAAAATAAACTAAAAACTATTTTTAATGATTTACTTATTCATTAAAAATATTATCATTAATTTTAAGTAGTTGCTTGACAACGGTTGTAAAATGTGCAATCTAATGATTAGTCATCTAATTCGTTTGTCTTGAATATTTGTTAGCTTTTTTAAAGTAAACATATTGTGTTATAGATGATATTTAATTAATAGAGATTCTGTGAGTTGAGAAAAACAATTTATTCTCTATGTTATAGGATAATTCTTTGTTATCTTTTGTTCTTTTATCATACTATATAATAAATTTTCAGGTACACTTGAAGATATGAAGTAACATTCTGAATATCATGATGATTGTACTATTCATTTAGTTCTTTGTTTTCTAAATGATTCATAAAAGTATTTTTAAATTATGGATAGATAGTGGTTTACACAGCATGATGGCATCTCTCTGAATAATCTGATTGTTCTCTCTCCTTGTAGCAGAGATATCCATCGCGGCGTTGTCACTGCCACGCCGCTAACCGCGGCAGCAGCAAGGTTTTTTGAAAAAGCATCGGGGCGCGGCGGCGACACCTTATTTCTGGAAGACATTGAAAAAACTGCATGAATTTGCACAAAAATTGAGTGTCCACAGACGTAACACTCTAAGACTCGATGAATCTCATCGATTAGTGACAAGAATTGTATTTCAATACATTCACAGCAATGAAATTCGAAACTTTTTTTCGAGTACCATCGCGGCAGCGGGGCACCCTTTTTGGAAATTCGTCGTGGCGCGGGAGAAAAATTTTTTTTTAAAAATCATCGCGGCGCGACAGCGGTAGATTTCGAGCCACGATGGATATCTCTGCCTTGTAGTTTGTAGTTAATGTATTATATAACACATGAGTTGCCTAATCCGAGTTTAAATATAAATGAATCTTCAACTGTAGAAGATTAATTCGAAAATAAATTTACAAAAAAACAATAAGATAATACTTACCTCTAGTGAAAATTAAAACAAAATTTACTTGTATTATAAATTATAATTTAGATAATCCGATCGTATAGCTGTTGCAGGAATGAGCAAAATAGATTTCATCGAATTATAATTTTAATACAGAAAATGATATTGGTATAGTAATTGAGATCTCACTTTTTATTTAATAAGTCAAAATTGTAATTTTGAATATTCAAATGTATAGATGTTTTTTTTTCCTACGTAATTTTGACTTTTAATATCAGTGTTGCGGCGTGGAATGCGAAGCAAACCCTGAACAATCAAGATCCGTACACATCTCTTTGTGTATGCAGTAATCGTAATATTTATGACATGTTCTTGCATACCTAAGTGCAGAGTTGGAACCGGTAAGGTTTCTTCTGACCTGATAACAGTGTAATCAATTCCGCAGATTAGTCATATCTTTCTCTTAATGACTACAGCACTGGGAACAAAAGTAGTGCTTCACAACCGTAGTGCTTTTCACTATTTTTTTTAAATATTCAGACATTGATACTATTTATTAAGTGTATACTTAATTTACCTTTTCATAATATATTGTTTTAATACTGTGATGTCATATCAAAGTGAGTTGAGAAAATATAATAAGAATCCTATGACAAATTGTGACTTAATATAGAATAATCTGATGGATATTTCTTCATCTATTTGATTTTTGACATTAGTAAACAGCTTTTGATTACCGATAAAACTACTTTTATGTTCAATTTTTCGAAGATAAAAATGCTGGTCATTTAGTGTTACTGATTATAACACTGCTTAAATAGAATAACTATGTAATCGAATGTGTAATCTGTAATTGTTGCATTAGTGACTATGTGAGAATAACATGATGATTATTACTGAGGTTTCAATTACGGTATCGCTACTACTCAACTGTGAGGATGAAAACGTACGTGTCTGATAACGGCTAAAGATACCACGAAAATACTATATAACACAGTCGAATTTGAATTATAATTTATATATGAAATGAATTTTGTTTTTATTTTGTTCATATAAAGATTCTTATGTATTTTCGAAATTTTCATTTATATTCAATCTGAAATTAGACATCTACTCATATACTATCTAACTATAGTTTCAAAAATAAGTGTTCAACCTTTCCCAAGTTTTAAAAAGCTCCTTTGGAAAAGAAAACCTTAGTTAACCATAGTTTATAGATATTGTGTGATGTTCTATATAAACAATCAGTCTTAATTAGCGTTGTGGTCCATGAACAAATAAGACAGACTTGAGCGCCTTATTGTAATTAAAGTATATATTATTTTTTAATTCGTTATCTTTCTACTTTGTTATTGTAAGTCTCCATTGATCTTTTGTTTTTTAGCTTTTTCACTCGTTACGGTGTAACTTTATTTATCATAGTTTGAAAATTATTGAAATATCTCTATATTAATCTCCAGAGGATTCAACGATCAATTGACAATAAAGCTATTGAGAAATATATTTTTCTTTGTCGAATAATTCCTCGAAGATTTTAGCAAATAACTGTAGTTAAATCATATTCGCTAACAATTTACTATAATCACAAGTATGATTCATAGACTAAAATCTAAAAGAATGTACAGTGTATCATTAGGTTGTCATCACATTGTCTATTTATTTCGTTGATGCAGATTAAATTTCCGCTTTTTCGTTCGATTTATTTTTCAAGTTTGATTTTGATGCAAAAAACGGTTAAGAATTTTGTGTAGATTTTATTGACAGAATTTTTTTAAAATAAGCATGTACTGTTATTTTATAGGCCAAAAAGTATTAAATGCCACAAAGTCAAGTACAAAATCAAAAATATTTAAAAATCATTGCGACTTTGCTAGATTAAGTTCCAGAGTTTGTTAGTGGTGTAAAATTTATCGATACATTTTATGATATGTTTCGTTTGGCTAACTGATCTAATTTTTCCTTTGAAAATTAGAAAATATGAATGAGACGTTCATAGACCAAGAATCTTACAAAAAAACATATCTGTTTTTATATACATAGATGCACAATTTCAAGTCCTATAAAACTGCTGTTCTTTAAAAGAATCGACCTTTTTTCTAATCGAATAGAAAAATTGCAATGTTTTCATCTATATGAAATTGCTCAATTCGAAGCTTTTTGAAAAATAAAAAGTATAAAGTGAAAGTCGATGTCGGATATCTCAAGTAAATTAACATATTAAAAATTAGCACTAAGAAATTTTTTAATATCTCGAGATATACGTCGCTAACGAATAGTTTTGCCCACATAATTTAATAGTTTTTCGTATAACATTTTTTATTTTTTTTTTTCACCTATTAAAGATTTACTTTGAATAACTGATTGTGTTTTTTATACAGATTTGATATACAATAAAATGCAATTAGCTAGTCGAACAAACCGTCGTTATATCACCCCAACTATGAAAGGTCCATCTCGAACAATTCCTCCGACGAACATAAAACCTAACAATGTTTCATCTATGTAAGAATAAAGAAGAAATTTTATAATAAAAAAAATATGCAAAACGAATGTTAATTTAAGTTCTCATTCTTCACCGAAAAAAGTTGTTGATACATCAACAACAAAATTAAATGAAGCATTAACATTAAAAAAGTTTGTTAATTGAAATTTCTTATATTGAAATAGTCTTATTTTTTGTTTTCTTTAGTTTTGTCGATCATTTTCATCATGATGAACTTCAAATTCAACCAGAACATGATTCAATAAATTCCAACTTTTCATGGTTAAATGGTAGAAAATTTTTATTGAATTTTTCTTCTAACTTAATTGTTTGGTTTTTTTTCTCGAAATTTAGATGAATCAAAAAGTATTTCTTATTCCGATGAAAATCTTCCAGAATCTATTGAAGTAAAATTATCTTTTATAATAATAAAATTGATCAAAAACTTAATTTCAGATATTTCCATCAACTGATATTGATCAAGATTTAAATAAACGAGCATCGTTACTTCTCAATCAAACATTCAGTGCTCATTCATCTGATACAGGACATATATCGAATACAGATATTGATTCTACTCGAATAACTATTATGTATCAACAACCAACTCGACCGATTAGCACTCGAATGGGTAAGATAAATTTAGGTTTTTTTTTCTTCTGAAAAATAATATATTTTTATTTGTTTTAAGTTGATTCAAAAGTTGAATATAAAATTGAAAATAATGAAGATGATATATTATATCAATGGCGTTTACGTCGTCGATTAGAACAAGCAACTAACAATGAACCAATCAGTTTTTCATCGAAAGTATTTATTTATTATTTTGTAATAACTATATAACTTCAATATTTATTCTCACATAGATATCAAATCGATCTAATATATCTCCAATATATTCAGTTGTTCCTTTGAAACCAATTGAAGTACAAACTGTGACTTCATCTCCAATTGTTTTATCATCATCACCAAAAAAAGAACAGCAACAATCATCAACAACAACAAATCATGAAGCAATCATGACTCCAATATCTCTTCGACAATATTCAGCAGTATCAACTCAAACAATACAAGTAAATAACTTTCTAGACCTTAGCAATCAGAAGTGTGAGGAGAAAAGAGAAAAATCATTCGACACATTTTTCTAACAACGTAGAAAGGTGCGTTAAGTTATTTCTAAAACTTGGTAGAATCTTCTAAAGTATTCTATGAATCTAAAATTTCTATTGTAGATTCGAATCAGTCTGAATATCGAAAGTTTTGAAAAAAAATAGTTCGGACTGAAAATTTTTTCGTCCAAACTTTTGTACTTCATTATTACAATTCGAAAGTAAATGTTGACACTTTTTTACAGATCACTTCAATTTTCATTTCTCTTAAATTCTCATTTTGGACTAAAAAAGTGTTTTGTATAGAATGAAACTCCTGACGAAGTGTTCGCGCGACGAAATAATTGAGTTGCGTGTTTCGTAGTACCTTCGAAAAGGAACTTACATGCATGAACAAAAGCCTATCGGTTCATTTTTCAATCTAATTTTTTAGGTCTTTAAACAATGCCTTGACTAGTCTCGAATAAAACTAAACACAATATTTCTAATGCCATATTCAAACAGAGCACAAAACTGACTATCATTCATAGTTTTTGGTTTGTCTGAATTACTTTCAAGCAGATGAAAATAAACAATTATTTGCACTAGAAACTATCCGTCGAAACTGATTTTCTAAGCCTTTTAAAGATTACCTGACTACTCTTGAACATTAACTGTGATAAAAATTTCTAAGGTCAAATTCGAAAAGTGCATCATATTTTGATCCAAATCCATAGCTTTTGACTTGTTAGAAACACTTTTAAGGGATTCAAAATGATGAACAAATATTTTGTGTTAAAACTTCTAGCAAACCCGTTATTGTAGGTGTCGATTATTAGAACGGTAGCATTATTAATCTAGCAGAGTCAAAACAGGACAAACTTAGAAATTGTATTAACTAATTTAATTGTCAGTTTAGGCAAAACTCAGTAGTAAATGTTAAAGATCGTTGCGAGAAAAAATTGCCGCTTCCTATGACATATATCGTATATATTATTATTAAGATACAAGAAGTTTCTGCATTGAAGATGCATCTAACAATATAAATAAACTTTTTTGGAATAACTATCTAATAAGTTGGTAGAATAAATGCAAACATTTTCGAAATGATAAGATTTCAGAGCACACATATCAACTATAAATTTTGATTTATTCATTTATTTGACACAATACCCTCGGAAATATATAATAAATTTATGACAATCATAGTTTGGGATTTGGATACATTGACTTCTCATGTGATCACACTGACAAGATTTATTCTTCTATAGTAAAAAATAAAATTTTATTTCTAGGATGCTTGTATTCAAACATCTTTAACTCTTTCAACAATACCAAATATTGTTAATGAAATAGATCTTGTTCCAACGCATGATGATGATGATGATCAACATTTATCTATTTGTCATCGTCCACCAGTTCGATCTAAATGTGAAATAACACAAATATCATCATCGCCATTAACTATTAAACGACATCATCGTACTTTTCGTCCAGTTGTTCTTGTTGAACATCCAACAATAGTGAATAATAGTTTGAATACAGTTCAATCTTCACAAGAAAGTACATTAACACAAGTTACATCAATTATGATTAATGAAAATAATAATAATAATAATCGTCACATTGAAAATAATAATAATACGATTGCAATAAATGAAATACAAGGTTAGTTATATTTTATCAGAAATAAATAAATAAATTTATTATTTTCGTTTTTTAGATGATGAAGAAATTGATGATGAGATATTATATATATTGAAACAAAAAAGAAATGAATTATTAATTCAATTTCGGTGAGAATTTAATTTTTCAATCATTTTTTTAATTTACTAATTTTTGTTTATTTAGAGAAATTGAACAATCCTTAGCTAATATGATTTCTTAAATGTCAGATTGTTGTTATTTTCTAATTATCTGTTGTATTAATTATTATTGTAATAAATTATATTAGAAAATAATTTTTAAGAATTTAAATAAATGACAAAAATTTGCTAATCTAGTTGAAATAGAATTATGTGAAGAAAGAATAAACCAATATAGAAAAATAAGATTCTCTCCTTCCGCGTACAATTAAAATAAGCTTTAAATATTCTTCTTCTCAATTTCTGTAGTTCAATTTACTTCATTTTAAATTACGTCTATTCAATTGAACACCAGAATTTCATACACTTCGTTTTCATTCAGCAAAAACCAACCGTCTTTGTTGCCAGTATTAGTTCTAAGGAAATGCTTGAAAAGACTTTTGAGGTCAAGTGTGAAAGTGTCAATGCGCATGTATATACCAGTCTCTGAACAGCAGTAGAAGATTGAACCAATCGATGGGGAAATTGTTCCCGTTCAGGGAGAAATGGTTCACCCCACAAAAAGTCACAAGTATCCAGGAGAAATGGAAACAAAAGAATATCAACATATATTTATCACGTCTAATATACCATAAAGAAATACTTCAACAAGAAGAAACAGAACGCAAGAATATAATTAAATATCTACCAGTCTCTACTCTACGTCCTATTTTTCATTTTTCACTTCTGCTTATTAATGTTAAACTGGATGGAGGATTTCTGCTGGAGAAAATTCATTTCTACTAAAACTTCTACTTATATCGGAAAATAATTTAATTTATTTCTCCTAATACTGTGAGGATAATCTGATCGATTTCTCCTAATATCTTATACAGTTCTTCTTGTAAGGGTAGATATGGTGTTGATGCGTTTCTAATCGAAAACATTTAGTGATGGATTGTGCTCCGCTATGGAAAGTGTTTCTGCTTGATTTTGTGTGGGGTAAAAGACTTCTGCTGAAAGTGGGACAGTTTTTCGATTTTGGGGGATATCGTCCAGCCCTCAAATCTGACGTACTCTACGTTTTACTGCATTAGTCTTGATCTTCGATTTTAATTCATGATCAAGTATGTGTGACTAGAGGTGCAAGCCGTACGACTGAGCCGTCGCCGCCAAATCATAGATAATTTTAAGAATTTCTCAGCAGCCGCCACTGTGGAAAAACAAGTCTAGCCACTTCGTCGTCGCCGTAAACGGAGATTTTATAATTGCCGAAGCAGCCGCTACCGGTGTCATTGTTTTTTTTTGTTGATACATTTTTATTGATCACTAGTTGTTTCACTCGAAAGCACTTACAACTATATTTTTTGCTGTCGGTGATAAAAATACTTATACAATCGAACATTTTTTTCGTTATTGAGGAGCTTCTAACCACAGGAATCCAAAAAAATAGGAATTTCTTATTCTCGAAAGAATACTTCAATTTTAAACGCAGCCGCCGCCGCTGCCGTTCAACCCTTCGGCTTATACCTCTATGTATGACACTCCTGCGGGTATACCACACAAAAATTTGAAGGATATCAAAATGTTTATATTATATCTTTTTGTGTACTCAAAAAGTGAGTACACTACTAAAATCGGTCTGTGTGTCCGGCCGTCCGTCCGTATACACGATAACTTTCGAAAGAAGAGTCAGATNAACAGATCCTGCAGGAACCGGCAGGAAAATGCGGGAAAATTCACCGTATCCTGCAGGAAAACACCGGAAGTCGCCGGAACTGGGTGGCAGTATTCCGGCCGGAAATTCTCCGTATTTTTTCCGGTGACTTCCGGTCAACTTCCTCCCGTTTCCTGCAGGAAGTTGGCGGAAAGTCACCGGAAAAAATATGGAGAATTTCCGGCCGGAATACTGGCACCCAGTTCCGGCGACTTCCGGTGTTTTCCTGCCGGAACCGGCCCGTACTTTTCGACCTGGGTCGGAATGGTCAGGATCCTGTCGGAACCCTGGAAATCCGACAGTTTCCGACATCCGACAACTTCCTGTCGGAATCCGATACCAGGATTCCGAACACTTCCGGCGACTTTCCATTGGATCCGATGGGGTGAGTTCGACCTGGGAATTGAACATTATTTATTATTTTATAAATAATTAAACAGAGAACATTTGAGGGTGTGGATGTGTGCGCGAGTGGAGAGGCGAGAAGAACTATATCTACACTTGGCCACGCCCACTCCCATACCCCACACCCACACGCACACCAACACCCACACCCACTCACCCACACACCCACACCCACACCCACACCGACACCCACACCCACACCCACCCCCACCCCCACCCACACCCATCCACACCCACACCCATATTCCTCTTATTTACACTATACGACCAACTGTCCGTGCGACCAATTGTCCATGCGACCAACTGTCCGCGCGCAACTGTCCGGCGACCAAATGTCCTGCGACCAACTGTCCGGATCCCAATGATATATTCAACATGTTCTCGAGTTATATGATTAATAGATAATGTCTTCTACTGTTTTCAAAATGTAACAGTTTTTAAAAACAAATTTATGTTCAGAGTTATTGCAAAACCATCTTAATCTTGTAATCTTCTCATCAGTGACTTTCTTAGACGTTTAAAATAATCTTTCATCATACTCAATGATAAAGTTCAATTTTATAGCATATTTAATTCATCTGGAAATTCTCGAATATTTATTCTATAGAAAACTTTCGCATTCCGTTTCTTTTGTTTTTAGCTTCATAAACAATCGCTAGAACTACGCACATGTCAAGAACATTTAACTGTAGAAAAAAATAAAAATACTACAAATGAACATGAACATCAAAAACTATCTAATTTAATACATTTATCAAAAGAACAAATTGAAAAACTTGAACATAATTTACAAGAATTTAAAATAAAAAATGAACAATATGAATATACAATAAATGAATTAAATTCTCGAAATAATTTAATTGAAACAAAATTAATTGAAACAATGACATTAATTGATTTACGTAATAAAACATTAATTGATTATGAACAACAAATGGATAAAATAAAAATTGAATTAATACAAAAACATAAAGAAATTCTTGATAAACAATGTCATATTGATCAATTAGAACAAGCTGTTATTGATAAAACAGCTGAAGTTGCACAATTAAATGAAATACTTGAAACTGGTCTTGTTAAAAGTCATCATAGAGAAAAATTTGCTGAAGATAATGCATCAAAAGCATTACATGATGTTAAAATTTTACAACGTGAAGTAAAAAAAAAATACTGCACACAGCAAAATTCTTTCTAATAAATTAACTTTATGTATTTATTTTTTCTTCTACATAGCTTCGTCATGTATCAGAAACATTAGCTCAACGTGAACACGCTAATAATGCACTTAATCAACAAATTCAACAATTAACAAATGAATTAAAAATAAAACAAGATGAATTTCAACAAATGCAAAAATCATTAAATAAACAAGTAACGAAATTTTCTCAAAACAACATCGATAAGAAAAACTATTTTCTATCTTTTTTGTCTTCTAGTTGACAATTAAACAAGAACAACTTGTACGTTATGATCAAAATCTTCATGAAGTAGAAATAAAGTCAAAATATGCTAAAGAAGAATGTTTAATACAAGAAAAAGAAATTGCACGTTTAAATAATGTTCAAGAAGAACAAGAAAATCGTATTAAAATATTACAACAAGATTTATTAAAACTTCAAGAAGAGGTATTTATTATAGAAAATCATTTTAATAGATTATAGATTTCGTTGCGTTTAATCACAAAAGAGAAAAAAATCTAAACTCATAAAGGAAATCACTTTTAAGTCAAGATTCCGCACCCCATGTAAATCCAAATAAACTATAAATACTGTGAAAAAAGTTTGGGCTTTCTGCTTATTACTGTCAAAGACATTACACTTTTACAGTAGTTTTTAAATGAATTTAAAAAACTTTCAGGGACAATGGCTTGAAGCAAAAGAAAACTTACGAGAGAGAGAAAGCTTCGCGCTTCTTTCCTCCAATCATCTGACTTGTAATAAACTCATTCAAAAAGAAACCATTTTAAACTGAAGCTTTATAAATGCTCATATCATTTTCGATACGCCCTATTTAAATGCATATTATTGCAAGATAAACACTACAAATGACTAACGTCTACTATACATAAAATCATACGAGTTTGTGGCATGTAAATTTAACTTCAACAAATAAAATGATTTGAAGCATCTTTCAAAATGAATATGGGATAATGAAATAATTCTAATAATTTTGAAATTTACGATAAAGAAGTATGAAATACGATTCCGATAACCCAGTGAAGGTGATAGATAATAAGACTAAACACGAGAAAAATAGCTGTAAATGAAGACGCAAAAATATATCGAATAAAGAAAATGAGAATCAATGACTATATGAAAATCAAGAACAAGTATGAATATCGGTGAAGTCCTATTATCATAATTCAATACTTACCTGCTGTATTCTCCTGTTTATTGTGATCACTAGGAAATAGTAGGTTCTGTGAAGACTTTTCATTGTACTTTGTTTCCGTTTCAAGAGGTTCATACTATTTCGAAACCAATATCAGAGAATGATATTTAAGAGAATAAATTAAATGTTGAGTATTATATACAAATTATTAGTAATTAAGGATGTCGGTGTTGCTGTCAGGAAAGCCAACAACGGTAGACACACTTTTGAATATTAAGTCTTTTTGAATTAATTACTAAGCTTTTCAAACTATATACGATGCTAACAGTAATTTTTGATTGAGCAAAACTTACAGAGTGTGTACTAAAAAAAACATACTTAGCATTCATTATAAAATAGTGAACAATTAGATACAGGCCATGGTTCAATTATGATTACACTGTTCTTAAGAACAACCTAAATCTATTATAAATTGATATTGATTGTAATAAGAAAGAAAAAAAAACTTTGAATACTTTAACTTCAATTTCTTTCCTTTCATAGAAAATTTCGGAACTTTTCCTCATTCATTAACTTGTTTTTTTTGATAATATGTCATAAATTCATGGTGAATTCAATGATAGTAATCTTCGAAAAAAAAATCAACATCTTTTCATTGAAATTGATATGAATAGAAGAATTATAGTAAAATCTCACAAAAATTTGTTTGTTTACTTAATTATACTTTCAATAAAATAAATCATTTTCTGCTTGTTTTTTTTCTTGTGTAGAAAGAATCAATAAATGTTCAATATGAACGTTCAGAATCTGATATTCGTAATATAAAAATTTTACGTGAAGATGAAACACGTAAATATCGTCACGAAATTGAAAAATTAAATAGTGAAATAACATCATTAAAAACAAATGAAACTGATTTATTAAAAAATATTGATGAATTAAAAGAAAATCTTTTAAATATAACAAGTGAACGTAATGATATACGAGAACAAAATGAAAATTATCAAAATGAAATTGAAAATATACAAAAAATGTTATATGATGAAACTGAATCAGCTTCAAAATCTTCAACAAAAAATGTTTCATTAACACGACAATTAGATGAAGAACAGAAACGTGCTACAGATGCTATACGTCAATTAGATGAATTAAGAATGCAATCGAAAAGTTCATCAATGACAACTGATACATTAAAAACTGAACTAAGTCAAGCACGTTCACTTATACAAGAACATGCTGTTAAAGTATATGATTATTTTATTTTTAAGGGAAATAAAATAGGTTTTTTTGGTTCTTTCTATAGGAAATAGATTTAAAACAAAATTTAAATCGAACAAATTCATTATTAGAAGAAACGAATAAATCACTCAATGATCGACAACGTGAAATTGAAACACTTAATCATCTTCTATCACGTTTGCAAATTGACTATGAAAAATCAAAAAATGAATTATCAATTGTACAAGATCAAATAATTCAATATGAAATTGAAAATCAAACATTAAAGCAACATTTAACAGAAAAAACAACTGAAGTAAACAAAGAATTGTTTCTGTTTTGTTTATTTTTTATCTTTTAATTTTAGTTATCAGCACTTACAAATCGTCTTCATCAAGTACAACAAGATTTTCATTCATATGAAAAAGAACATCGATATTCAAATGAAGAATATTTTGAACGTGAGCAACGTATGAAAACAATCGAAAATGAATTATCAATGATGATTAGTAATTATGAAAAACTTCAACGTGAATATGCTACTTTAAATGAAGATTTAACTCAACATCGATATGATCTTGAACAAAGTCATAAATCTGATACTTCACATAAAGAACAAGTAAATAGAAATAATATAATTACAATATACATGCATAATGTCTGAAAACTTATCTACCAAAAAGAAAACTATATATATATATATATATCCGTTGCGGCTAAACCCAATCAAGTGACTTCTTTTCTTGCTAATTGAGAAGACTTCCAAGTTTTTATTCAGGTAGTTAAAGTTTCTGAACATTGCGTCATTCAGGCGTTCTTGTCTAACATTATAGATATTTGTATGACAACTTTTTCAAAGGTTAGTGACATTAGTCTCAAATTAGGTGACGATGAAAACCATAAAATTATATCAGTTTGATCATTTGACTTATTAAAGATTTTGATGAGTAGTGAACGAGTTTAAAATAACAAAAAAATTGAAGCGATTCAGTAGGACACCCTGTCATCGAAACTCGAAAACGAAAGTTTTTTTTTTTCATATTGAATATTCAAAGTTTATAGTCTTAAGAAGTCCGTGTGGATTTTAACTTTGTGAATAAAACGAAGAAGTCTCCTGTATTAGCAGAAAAAAAAACTACTTGAATTGAGTTAACTGCAGTGGAGATGTGTAGTTTTCTTTTTGAGTAGTGACTTTTTGGACACTGTATATATTAAAGTCCAAACTGAGATTAGGCCGAATGTTGGATTGAGAAGAGATTTATATGCAAACTCGAATTGGTTCGTAGATTCATTTCGTAGTTGGATTCTTATTGATGAAATGAGAGAGAGCAAACACGATTTCAATTAATATAATTATCAATGAACGACTTAGATAAAGATTCAAGCGATTATAGATAGTTTTTATTAAAGCACTTCTTGTGTATGAAACTATCCATAAATTCATGAATTGTTAACATAAATGATTAACTGATGATTGTATTTATTTGAAATACCATTGCTATTCTTCAGTTCATCAATAAGAATTCGAGTAAGATATTAATCTACATACTAATTCGAGTCTTAATATAAATTATTTCCTCAATTCGACATTGATTGTAATCTCAGTTTGGACATAAACATGTCTATGTATGTATTTAGTTAGTACAATCAATAGAAGAAGCGAAAATCTGTAAACGAAAATTAGCATTACTTGGCAATTGTTTCAAGACAGTTGTTCGAAAGGTAAATTTTGACTAAAGATATTTCATTGAAAAAACTTCATCTATAACTAATTTTTCTTTTCAATAGGCATCCGAAACAAGTGAACGATGGGCTAATATTACATCAAAACTTCATGAACAAGTAACTGATTTAAGTGAAGATGCAAATAGACTTCGTATACTTGACGAACGTTTTGAACAGTCAACAAAAATTTTAACACTTTTACGAAGTCAACATGAAGATTTAATTTTACAATTTATGGCTGTTAAACCTGTTCTTGAAAAAGCTCATTTATATGTACGAGAATATAAACGTAAATGGTCTCAAACAAGTGATGAAAATCGTCATTTACGCATGGAAATAAAACGTATGAGAGCTAAAATTGATGATTTTCATCGAGCTGAAGGTATAATGCATACAAAAATTGATGAACAGGAAATAAATTTAGTACAATTACGTAAAGAACTCAAGTAATTTTTTTTTTCTATTATATAATAATCCATTTATTTTTCTCTAATCGATTCTTTGTTGGTGTTCTTTTTCAGTAATGAAACACAAACTCATTCTGAAGCTCAAACACTTATTGAACGTTTAAAACATACATTAGATGATACGATACAAGAACGTGATCAATTAATTAAAAATATGACAAATGCTAATAAAAAGGTAATTATTTAATTATATTTCAAAAAGAAAGTTTATTTTGCATTTTTGTTTTTTAGATTGAAAAACTTGAAAATGATATTGATGGATATACAAATGAAAATTGTTTATTACATCAAGCAACACAAAAATTAGAAAAACAATTAGCAAATGCACATGGACATAATGAATCATTACAAAGAACATATCAACAGAATGAATTATCATATCAAGAAAAAGTAAAATTTTTCATTTTCGAAATCTATAGAAAAATAAATAAACAAAATCTTTATTTTTCTAGATAAATGAATGTGAATCATTATTAGGATCATTAAAAGATGCTAATAAAGATTCATTATTTTTATTAGAACAGAAAAAAGCTGAATTAAATATGACACAATCAGAAATACAATCATTAAAATATGAACAATCCACAACCAATGCAAAGGTTAGATTTTTACATATTATAACGAAATCTTATTGATATACAATCAAAGATCGCATATCAACAACGTCTATGATGATGTAGTAGGGGGATAGAGGTGCAATTTTTACCATTATACCGTAACATTCCTTTTAACTCATCCTTCTTCTAACAGAAAAAATTGGATGGTGTATTATTTCGCAGTTCGAATATTTCTCACAAAAAAAACATATTGAAAAACTTTTAGTACATCTCATATCATTATAAATAAAATCTAGATGATAACTTGTTAATGCATACGATCGTTTGATGTCAAATAATAATGACGATTAGAAATATATGCCTATAGGCTGAGCCGCCATCACCAACAGAGGAAAGAAGTTATGATAGATCCGAACGCTGATATCAATCGATGCATCGGCTTACACCTCGAATGATGATAAAGCTTGAGTTTTTAAATAATTCGGATATTGTTCGAGTAAAAAACTGCGTTAATTAATTTTTCCGATTATACAATTGGAGATAAAAAATATGAAAGTGATTAATAAAAATGTCATTAAACTTAGTCTGAACTATTTATTGAAGTCATTATTTTAAATGTGATTTTTAATGGAAAATTTTTCAAAATGTATTTATTTAGTTTGAAAAAATAGAAGAAATGAATCAAGAGTTAAAACGACATATATCTATTCTTGAACGATCAAATGATGAATATAAACGTTTAATACGAAAACGTGAAAAAGAACTTGAACAAGTTAAAAATGAATTTGACAATAATGTAAAAAATGTTTCATCACTTAGTAATAAGGTATTTTATTCGATTTGTATTCTATTTAAAATAATCACAAAAATAAAATTGTTTTCAATTTTTTTTTAGTGCACAAAACAAGATGCCGAATTAAATGTTCTTCGTCTTGAAAATTCATCTTTAAGTGAAGAATTAAAATTAATGCGTGACAATGTGAATCGTTGTGAACAAGAACAAAGACGTCTAAGAAAAGATTGTGACCAAGCATTAAATTTTATTCATGACGGCATTCCCGAATTGTGGTAAAAATAATCACAAAAGAAAAGAAAAAATATTGTTTGTTTTGAAGTTTATGGGTGTTGCCATGTATTATGTGCTAGTTTCTTTCCTAGTCATTTAACCATTTACTTACATTTGTGTGTATCTAATAAATGCATTTATATCAGATAATTTTGTTTTCGTACAAGTTTTGTTTTTTTGTGTTGTTTCCTTCAATTTGCAATCTTATTCACATGTGTTTGTGTCTGTATTAGTATTAATTCTCTTCTAGTCAATTAATATAATATTTATGTTCGATGCACTTTTGTCAGACAGTAAATAAATGTAGAATAGATGGTTAATTATTTGAATTTTTTTTGTAAAAGAAAATTTTCAATTTTTCTAGTTTGGACGATGGTATTACCAACAGTAATCGAAATGGAACATTACAAGAACATTTAAAGAAAATTCCATCGTTAATGCAACAATTATCAGGCGATAGAGAAAATTTAAAAACTAAAAATGCACTTCTAGTACAATTTGTTCATGGACTTACTTATGATCTTAATGATTGCCAGAGTAGTCAGAAAAAATACAAAGTAAGTTTTTTTTCATCTATTATCAATATTCATTCAAAGTAAAAGTATTGTTTTATTTTATTCGATTATAAATAGTTACTTAAAGCACATTCAAAACAACAACAATTATTATTAAATCAATTGGAAGCTCATGTTCGCTTTTATGAGTAAGATTATTTTCATCTTATCTATTTGTTTAAAAATTTTATATTATTTTTAGATCTGTTTTCAAGGAAAAAGGATTTTTTCCAACAATTGAATATTCTTCAGGATCAACGGTAGCTTCAGCACCTGATGTTATCGACAGTAATCATAACCGGAAAAATTAGATGTAGATTATTGTATAAAAACAATAATATATTGCCAACATAGATTAGTTTTCTGTTTCTTTTTTATTCTAGTTTTTCAAATATCAATGTCTAACTTTTTGTTGGACAATGTTTGTTTTTCTGTCCGTTGATTCTTTTGTCCGATCAGAGAGAACATAACACAAAAAGAAAAACAGCACTCTAGGGGTCTTTTGTATTTTCGATCTGGGTAAATAGATAGAAATGATGTGTTTTTTTTAAATATCGTGTACTACTGTGCGTAATTTTGTGAATGTTTCTTTTTGTAATTGGAATATATTTGTAAGAAGTGCAGGGAAATTAGAATTAGAATAATTAAATAAAATCGAAATATTTCTCAAATATATATGTTCTAATTGATTATTACTATGTTGATACTACAATGCCATCTTCTTAATATTGTGTATAAACAAAAGAAAAAAAAATTGAAAGAAATAGTGGATATAAAGACCGAAGAGTATCAATAAAAAAAAAAAGGATCGAAAAAAAACATCAACGATGAGGAAAATGGTAATATCAAATGAAAGTATCAGGCTTATTATTTTTCTTATCATGTTTAAAAATTCAGGTCAGTAGAACTAAGATTTAATAAATGATTGTTTATGGAAAATTATCACTGTTATAGAAGAAAAGTTGATTTGTTTACCAGATCGAACAAATGGGTCTTGTCAATGGACTTTATTTGGTTGGAATCCTTATTACGGATGTGGATATAATCAAAAGATGAGTTCACGTAAATAGAAGAAATTATTTCAATAGATTTATTTCTACAGATTTCTTTTTAGATTCATGTATTATGAAAAATTTTGATGGATCGAAATCTACATTTCTCACAAAACTAAATTTATCATTAAATTATCAATACTGTTTAGAATTCAAATATCTTATTACTGGATCTGTTATAGATTGTAATAAAAATTAGTTCAATTGAATTGTATAAATTGTACTTTTTTTTTAGCTTGTATGAATTTTTATGGAAAAACTTGGCCTAATATTAAAAAACTGTCCATATTGTTTTCGAGTTTTTGTATTCCAAATGAACAACTTGAGTTACTTTGGCATTCTTTTACTGTTCCACTTCCAGAAAATTTAACTATGGTAAATAAATGTAATAAAATTTGAGAAAACTTGTCTTACTTAAGAAAAAATACAGATTAATGTCGTCACAGAAAGTAATGGTATTGCTAGTAATCATTCATTAGTCATTAAAGATTTATTTATTCAACAATGTAATCAAGGTAAATTCTCAATAAAGTTATTTAATTTTAATTCATTTGATATCTATTATAGTTTCAACATTACGAAATATTTTACCGATGAATTCAACTATTGTCTCTTCATGGTTAAATCCAAAACAAAATTTCTGGATTCAATATCGTTGGATATTCATCATAGGTATTCTTATACTTTTGCTTCTTTCTTTGATCATTATTACCATTACTCTCTATACATCTCATCGAATATTTCATCAAGAGCCAACAATAACCGAACGAATTCAAATTCCATCTATGCATCTTTCTCAACATTATTATGAAGAACCTATATCAATTATTTTAACACCTCCTATAGATATAAGTGTGTATGATCATGTTCGAGATAATTATGTATAATAAAAAAAAAAAAATATTAATAAAATAACTAGCGCGTTAACATTATCTTTTCTGTTTTATTTCAAACAAACTCTTTTATGTTACAATGTCATCAATAATAATCAATGATGAAAATTGCTCTGTACTAAACAAACTAGATGAATATGAATCTATTTTTAAACATTATGGTTTGAAAACACAATCACAACATGTTGATTATGAAAATGAAAAAAATATTATTGAGATAAATAATGATTTAAATAAAGATAAAAAAGATCATTTTAAAAATCTATATGAAATTAAAAGAAGTTTTTTAGAAAGAAATGAGAGCAGAAAAAAAATGAATAATACAAAAACTATGAAAAATAAAACTTCGCCAACGAAATCCAAAAAAAGCAAAAAATCAAATAAAAAAGTTCGTTTTAAATGATAACAAAAGTTTAACTCATTGATATTTTTTAATCTAGACGAAGAAAAAACATCATGAAAAAATTATAAAAATTACACTTCCTGATGAAGCTAAAGCTCGTAAAACCACATATGGGTACGTAAGAAAAAAAGAAACTATTGACAAATAATTCAAAAAACTGAGACTTTTTATGCCGATTCAATGAATAGCAAACATCAACAACAGTCAAATAAAAGTCAACAAAGTTTGACTGTAGCTTCATCAGCGCCTAGCATATCATTACATGATCCATCTTCTTCTACAATAAAAACTGTACAAAAACTGCCAGCATTCGAATCCAAAAGTAATCAATCAATATCCGATGTACAATCAAATCCAATATCTATAACAACTGTAAAAAGTACTGATCAAATCATTTCTCCAACACTTACATTTAATCAACCACAAGCGAATGAATCTAATCCAACAAAAAATTCAAATTTAATGAATAAAACATCGGATAAATTTGAATTAACATGGAATTTAGATGAAATAAATAATTTTACTCGAAATATTTTCAAACACAGTAATAACAATATTAAATTACATTCCTATGGGGTTTGTTTTTTTTCTCAGATATTATCACTAAACCTATCATTCGTTCAAATCGAATTCGATTGAAATGGTATATTTTTTCTTTAATGTCATTTATTTTTGTATTCAATTGTTTATTATCTACAGTGCCGTAGATTCGGATGATTATTTAACAAAATATATTCAACGTCAATCTCATTGTTTGGATGTTTTTGAACAATATATTAATACACTTAGACGATCATTTGGTATCATTCGTGATGCGGCTTCTGATGCTCCTATATTTGAGCCAGGTCTTACTGTAAGTAATATGGTTAGACAATATTATTAGATAATCAAAAGTATCTTCTATCAGATAATGGGTCCATATGTTAAAAAAGATCCATCTATTATTGATAAAGAAGAATCTCACGTATTAAAAAAAATGGCTGGTATAGAACCAAGAAAAAAATTTGCATTAGTTCATGAACGGATAGGAATTTTTATTATTGGTAAATGAACTTCTTGTTTTTTCTTTTGGTATATCATTGTTCATAATATTAATTCAGGTGGTTACAATTTATATGTCAATGTCCCTATTCAAAAAGAACCTGATACAGATTATTTATTCAAATTCAGTGGGGACATGGTAAAAATTCCACGATTAAGTTCATGTCGAGTTCATTTTGGTGAATGATTAAGTAAAATTAGATTTGTATGATTTAACAAAAAAAAGTTTTATTTTTGAATATTACAGGAATATACACGAATGGTGATGCTATTTATGTTGCCGGTGGTCAAACATTATACAATGAGTTAGTAACATATTATGTGAGAGTCTCGGCACAATATATTCGTTCATTTTTCGGTCATCAAAATGCAGCTAGTTAGAATCAGAATTTTTCGCTATTTTCGGATATATATTCAGATTTTCCTTCTACAATAAGATTGAATAACTATTAATAAATTTTGGTAGAAAATTGCAACACTGTGTTTGTACCAAGTAAAATATCAGTTTAGGCACAGTTCTCAATTTGTGTCTTAAAACTGCTTCAAGTCAACATTATTGTAGACTACTGCATTCTGTACAAAATAAGATACTACAATCTCATATCATTCAAAATCTAAATGCTACTTTCTATGGAAATTGACATTAGTCAAACATATCGCTGTTTTTAAAAGCTGCTTTTAAATATATAGAAGTTTTAAAATCTATCATGCAAGATGAAATAAAAATAAATAAATAGAACCCTTTGTAGTCAACCAGGGTACATCCTCAAGTGTTCCATCGTTTTTTGATCAAAACTATATTCGAATCAGAGGCTCTGATGAGTAATGTAGAAACCTAAACGGGTTTGATTGTCAGAGCGTTTGTTCTTGAGATATCAAATTTCTACGGCGTTTTTTGAACAGAAAGCTGTGGTTTCTCTCGGGTCACCATGAATATCAAATATCAAGTTGTGGCTTGAAATTCTAAAAAAATGAAACTCTCAATGCCACTAGCTCATTATGAAAATTTGACTGATTAAAGTATTTGATATGCTGAGATATTAATATAAGAAGAATGAGCGTTTTTTTTTATCGGAAAGTTTTTTCAGTATTAATATCGCAGAATAGGATATTCAAAAATAAGTAAAACTTTCACAATGAGCCAGTGTCACGAAGAGTTTTGTTTACGCATTGTTTCAAGACGGAACTCAAAATTCGATTTTCATAGTGATCTCAGGGAAACCACAAGAATCTGTTAAAAAGTGCGGTAAAAATTCGATATATCAAGAACAAAGACTTAGCCAATCGTACTCTCTCAGACTTTTACCCTACTCACAATAACCTCTCACTTACATATAGTCTCGATCAAATTGCAATCCAAATATTGCGGATGTTTCTTCTTTAACTATAGAAACTATTTCGCATTTTGAATTTGGTAGGTTTCAATCGAAATACAAACATGAATAAAATAATATTTTGTAGAATCACTAAGTTGGATCTTTTGGAACAATTTAATGATAGTTGTCCAATTTTACTTCAGAAGGAAATTCTAACCATATATTTGAAAGAAGCGAAAACTATTTTGTACCAAGACTTTCACGTCTTAAGCTAGTTAGATCTACTAAGATTTATTGTTTTGTTCTTTTTTTTTCATATTAGATTACTTGATGATATTCAACGTTTGAATTTGCGAACATTAAGATGGGAATATGTTGCTAAATTAACGAATCCAATTGCTGCTTGGTCAGATCAGATATTTCTTAATTACAAACTAATTTTTCTAATGTTTAGTGGTATGACAGTTGAAGGACAACGAATTTATCTAGTGTGAGTTATGGCATATTCAAAAAAATTTTGGTGTTACATTTTTATGAAATTCTCTTTAGTGGTGGTTATGATATTTTTCAAAATCAAACTCATTTCGTCAATACTTTTACTATTTATAATTTGTCGACAGAACAGTATGATTTGATAATCCTTTTTTTGTTTTTTTTAAATATTCTTTCTTTTGTGGTCTAATAATATATATTTAGATTTGAAACATCAACTGATTTGCCATTATCACGTTGTCGTAGCCTACTCTTCGCAACTAGTAATGCCTTGTTTTGTATATCAGGTCTAATCGAAGGTCATGATGAGAATGGTAATAAAAAAATAAAAATTTCTACTGTGAGTGTTTTTATTTCAATTGAAAAATAGCCAAATCGTTTTAATATTATATTCTAAAGGATATTTTAAAATGGAAACGTGAAACTCCAACATGGATTAAAGTATCACAAACACCTGCACTTAGCAAACTTCATGCATTATCATTCAATGGTATAATTCGTAGAATCATTCTAAATAAAAATAAAATAAATTTCTCTAATTAGATCCTTATCTTGAAATAATAAAACGTACTATTCACGATAAAGATGGTGCTACTGACACGATAGTTGAAGTAAAGATAAACTGTTTTTCTATATGCACATGTTCATATTTCACTTAGGCTCATTATGATTTTCGAACAAACATATGGACAAAAGGCAAACCACCAGCGTCACCTGCAAAACAAAAAAGTATATCTGCTGCAAAAAATCCAAGCAAATTACTGACCAAATCGCCATCAAAAACACGAAATAAAATGAAAGTAACACCAACTAAAACTCCATCAAAAACCCAGTCAACATCGAAAAGTATATCACCTTCAAAAAACAAAACACCATCAAAATCTAAAGGTTTTTTCATGAAGAAATGTAATGTTTGTATTAAAAACATTGTATTTTTCTTTTAGATAAGAGACAAAAAATTAAACAAAAACAAAAGAAAAAAAAGAATAAATAATGAGATATTATTGACTCAAATAAACAACAACAATAACTTCTTTTTTTTTTGCATAAAACTTTTTTTTTAATAAGTCTGATCTAAAATTTGGATAATATACAACTGCAAGATGTCTTAAAAAATTATCGAAACAATTTTCCTAATATTATCATTGGATTGCATTTTTCAATTCAATATAACAATTAAACAAATCACTGATGCAGTTAATTGTTAAGAATTTAATTGATCACACTTTGGAAGAATATTTCGATAACAGGAACACAAATAATCAATGGGAAATCTCTTTTTTTCATTAATAAAACATTGATTAGAAGATATTTTCGTCCTTTAAACTGTTCTTCATTCACTAAAGATTAAATCAATAAATCTTCACTCAACTTCAATTATCTCTGATGTTCATTTCACTTTCTCCATATGAAAAAAAAAATTCATTTGTTCTACTCTTTCATTTTTTAGCCGCTATTCATCAAATGTGTAAATCTATTCATTTTCTCTATACTTCATTATTGAATGTCACTTTCTAAAATGCTTTCTATCGCCAAATAAGGAAAAAACAAAACCTAAAGGTCTTTATTTCTATTAAACAAACATATTTAGATTGAAATTTGTCAATAATCCATTTAGTACTAAAACAGCTCGTGTATATTCATCGGATTATCTCCAATCATTTGTAGACAATAAACACTAATCGAATAAACTTGTTAACGTGTGAGATAGAAGTGGAATTTTTCTTGCTTCTGGTCATATGTATATCTATCTTAATTGACCACCGAGAGAAGACGATGGAGACATACCGAGCCGCATACATTTACACACATATTTGATTCGGTAATCAATTAGAAAGAGAACGTAAGACGACAAATAGATTGGCTTATAAAACAATAGACAAAGAAAGAGAGAGAGAGAGAAAATGCTCAACAAAAAAAATCGATATGTATATATAAATAGAATGAATCGATGTGGCAATCGATTGATATTGTGATATACACAGATCATGCAAGGTAAATATATATAAATATGAAAGATGAAGATTAATTTTTGTTTAAAATAACTTTCGAAACTATTTTTCTAGTCTGTCAACATCGTTCATATGAATGTATTCAAGTTTCATATCGTGGTATTAATAAATGTATAACAAACTTTAATCGTTTAACAACAGTTGCTCATGTTATTGATGCATTACTTGATGATTTATCCGAAAAACAATATTTATCTATAAATGATTGTTGTTTATATATTGAACGTCCACCATATTTATTCCCATTAAAATCAACTGACTTTATTCAAGATATTTTATTACGTTACGCATCAACAAATATACATTTTAAATTATCATTTAAACGTAATTCATCACCATCACGTTTTGCACAACGTAAAAAACTTCATCGAACATCATATCAACAAACAACATTAACAAATGCATATGAACAATTAAAAATTCAAGAATCATTAATACAACGACAACATGAAATAATAACACAATTGAAAAAAAATAATTTATCAAATGACCATCATAGTCAATATGAATCATCAAGAAATTATACGAATTATTTCGATTGGATTACTCAAAATAATGATAGTGATGATAGCAAGTATGTTTTTAAAAAAATATTCTTGAAAAAATTTTTATTGATAAATATTTTTTAGAATTTCATCAGATATTATTCCAATATGTAGACGACAATCACGACAGGATGAATATCATAAAGCTATTAATCATAATTCAACAAATACAAGTCGTTCATTATCACGTGTTCGTTTTCGTACATCAATAGAAAATAATACAAATCAATTACCATCATCAACAGCACAAATGAAAAGTATTTTAAAAAAGAATTCATTAAATTATTCTATTCTTCCACGAACTTCAAGTGTTGATCGTGATATTAATCGATTAACATCAATCAAACAAAGACGAAATAGTTTATATCAATTTGATACTGACGATGATAATCTATCAGATCGAAGTACAACAGATTCATGTTTAGGTTCACTTTCATCGAATGATAATAATAGTTATGTTATCAATCAACAGCATCTAGAAACGCTTGTTTGATCTGTTCTTTCTTTTTTTTTTGTATCTTTGGTTTTTGTTTTTGCATTTATAAAGCTTACTCAACTTTTGAAAATATAAAAAAGGTCTATGAAAACATGTTGCCCCTTTTTCTTTTGTAGAATAAGAACGAGCAAAAAAATCGACTTGCTTTCCCTTTTTTTCTATTTGCTTTTAACATAATTTCCGCTGGTGTTTTTATTGCGATAAAAATATAGAACAGAAAAAAAATAAAAACTTACGACACATGTGTTGCAGTGAAATAAAATATACACCATTGTCGTTGATGTTTTTTCCGAGACAAGTCGAAGAATTAGAAAAATAAAAAAAAAAATAAAAAAGAATATTGCAGAATCGAGAAAAAAACTTTTTTTATGATAAAAAAGCTTCTCATAAAAAGAAAATCATATTGGGTTTATATACATACGTCAGAATAGATTTGTTATTATTTTTTTTTTATTCTTCTGCTCACTTATCATCATAACAAGTATAATAATGTCACAAACTAATGGTATTACTACGGCTACTATAACTAATAATAAAATTAACATTAATGATATTAATAATAACAATAATGATAGTGAATTAGAAATTTTACAAAATCTTCAAATATTAGTTCCTGCTATAAAAAATAATTTAATATTAGCGTCTCAACAATTTACACAGTTTATTAATTATGCAGAAGATTTTAATAAACTTTCGTCAACAATTCGATTAATGCAAATAAAACAAGAAAACCTCGAAAGAGAATTAGAACAATATCGAAAAGATCGAAATGATATTGAAAAACAATTTGAAATAAATGCTGATAATCGTATTTATCTTGATGTTGGTGGTCAACATTTTACAACAACAGGTAAAACATTAACACAACGAACAAATTCAATATTTTTTCAAACTCTTATTAATGAAAAATGGAATATAAATACAAATTCTATTGATAATCCAATTTTTATTGATCGTGATGGACGTTTATTTGGTTTTATTCTTCAATATCTTCGAACAGGTGAATTAAATATTGAAGATAAAAAAATACAAAAAGAATTATTAACAGAAGCTAAATATTATAAATTAAAAAATTTAGAAGATGAATTAAATTCAATGTTAAGAAAAGATGAATTATTTATACCTGTTAATTCATTTGATGCTATTAATCAATCACCACCATGTAGTCCATTATCAACAATTAACAGATCACGTTCATCACCCTTTTCACCTACATTATTATGTAATAGTATAACACGTCTATCACCTTTAAATCAACCTATATCATCAAAGTCAAAAATTCATCCAGCTCAAACAGCATCATCATGGAGATCAAGCTTACCTACAGAAAATCGTTTAAATATTTTTCTTGGAAGTACTTTATTAACTACTGAATATGAAGAAAAGCTAATTGAATTTATAGGGAATGATATTCAACAACAACAACCATGGCGTTTAATTTATCGAGCCAGTGAACATGGTTTTGATGCCGCTGATTTTCATCGTTGTTGTGATTCATTTGCACCTACAGTATCAATTATTCAAACAGATTTTGGAAATCTTTTTGGTGGTTTTACATCAATACCTTGGAGTTCAGCAAACTTACGATCTGATCAGGCGGATCCAAAAGCATTTCTATTTACATTAAAAAATACATTAAATATTCCACCAACAAAATTTCCTGTTGCTAAAGAATA